ACCCCCGAGTCGGTGAAACTGTCACCCTGGACTGTCGCGTTCCCGCGACTGCTGCGATTCTGGCGAAACTGACTTGGCATTGGGAGACATCAAGCCGAGTGAAACTAACGCAGACCATCACTCCCGGGATGAGCTTCAGAAAGGAGCACATTCTCAAGGAAACCGACAACTTCAAATTGTTTACGTGCGTCGCGGGGAACGACATCGACGCGGGGCCGAGGTGTTCGGTGTACCCGCTCCAGATCAACATTACCGTCAGCGTGGTGTTGCTCCAAAATTACGGGCCCAATGACATTGATGGAATCACTCTGGAGCTCAAGTGCGATGCCAAATCCATCCCAGCCACAACCCGACACACATGGTCGCTTCTCAGCAACACAAACCTCGCAAACGGAACGGAACCAGAATGGACGGACGTCACAATCACGCAAGGTCGCTACCAACTTGCGGACTCTGGACGGTATCTCCACATCGTTAACGCCACCCAGAAAGATGACGGGATGAAAGTCAGATGCTTAGCATCTAACGACATCATGAGCGTCACAAGCGAACCGGTGACCATTGTGCACTGCGACGATACAGACAACTTTGTATTTAACGTGACCCAGTGCAGAGTGACGTCAATGTCTCCACGTATTGAGGTACAGAGTTACGTCGGAATCATTGTGGTATACTTCATTGCGTTCCTTGCCATAATATCTGTCATCGTTCACATCGTCATTATTAGAAAAGAGAAGAAAGCACTGATGACACAACTTGAACTAACTGAGAGGCACAACCAGTGAATTTATGATGAAAATCCTCCACAGCGAATTTGTTGTTTTCTACGGCAAACTTACGACAATACTACTGTTTGTAACAGAATTTTGACTTTAAACCAAGAGATTTATGTACAAAGATGGGACTGACTTTATATCTACACTGAGCACCTGTGTACAGTGACCACCTGTGGACTTGGGTGGTTCGAATCTAACTGTGGTCAACAAACTAGGCTCAATAAAATTTGTGGAACTTAAATAATAATGTGAAGGGCATCACAGAGCAAACTGTTTTGTTTTGCCTACAAAAACTAAAAGTTTTGAACAAGTTTTTTGACCTGGCTAACGATCAACTTCATTTGAGGTTTATTTATTCTTGTGCATTTTAAAATTACTTTTCTCATTGTTAGCCATCTACATTTGTATGGTCAATATTGTAGCTATTTCTTGCCCTTGATAACTTTTTGGATTGTAATTGTCCACGTTTTTATCTGTTTTTATCCCTTTATTAAATCTTTTTAATATCTTATCTTTTAAATTATTATTTCAATAATGGTCTTATTTATTCTGTACATATGTACAACTTTTTTTTCTCTGTGATTTAAATTTATCTTTGAACCACATCGCATTTAGATTGACAGGCTTTTAAGTCAGTGTTTATTAAAATGTACTTTTGTCAATCCTTCACCAGATTTCATGAAGTGCTGCAACGCGTCGCAACCCGAGTTACGACATTAACTGTTAATAACACGTTGCAACTCGCGCCACACCATACACCATGATCCCTTTCACGAAACTTGTGATGTGTTGAACGCGTCGTAAGGTCTTTGCCAACGGCTTAAAACATGTCACAGGTTACGACGTGTCTAGTGGTCATCGCAAAATAAGAAGCGTCCTTTTCTTAGCTTGTTTTATGCCATAAAAAATATAAACGAAAGTACATGTATACACCTAATACCAAGACAATGTGTGTAAAGTTGTAAATAAAAAATGCATTGAATAATTATGAACTAGCCCGGAATATTGTAGTTAAAATTTCAAAGTAGCTATACAGTCCACCAAGAGCTTGTTTTCCTTTAAAACTGCATCACACGTCCGCCATTTTGTTTTACATTTTAAAAACTTTTGAGAGATCCGACGACTCTTTGTTGAAAATCAGACGACTATTTACTGTACGCTGAATCAATACATATAACAGTCACCAGGTTGTGCGATAAATACACCTACGACGCGTGTATTGTGAAATGGATCGCAGGACACGTCGCAGCTGCAATGCATCGTAGGGATATGACGCGTAGCAGCGCTGCGATGCATCGTATAAGGCGTGTCTTACCCACCACATTTCTCTGTTTATATACATGTACATGTAGTAAACCACATACTGGGACAGTTGGCATTCACAACAAAAGCATGCATGGCAGTAAAATGTCACTACATGTAGGTCAACTTCTCAAAAGGAAGCCCTCTACCAAGTACTGGTACACTAACAAAGGGGAGTTTACCAAACCTGGGTTTCTTCTCACAGCTGCGGCTTCATCCTAGTCTATGTAATAGACCCTTGCGATATGCGGGCAGAAACGGCGATTAATTATGCAAAAAAGACTGCGTCTTGACTCATTCATCCTGATCTGGCGATATGACATATTTGCATATTAATTACTTCCTTGGAGTTCAAATTACACAACTGAGAAAAACAGGCTTTGAAATAGCTGGCTTTGTTGTAGAGAGCAACAGAACGATGCACACAAAATGGTTGTTTTTTAAATCCACTTTGTTAATCAAAATCAACATTTCTGTGAATAAAACCTGAATCTGTAGGTATTAAATATGTCTTTCATCACAAAAAATGAAAATCACATTTTCACCCTCTCAACATTAAGCGGGCCCTTACAGTTACACGATAATGCTCAGTGCGACTTAATACCCATTTTTGTGGGGCCGGTCACAATTATTCGGCTGCTGGCTAAGCTATGAACTACAACAGACCCTAAGCAAAGCACCCGTCTTAGAGCAGTGGCGCACCCTGGATTTTTGGGGTTTTTTTTTGGGGGGGGGGGCTCACAATTTGTTATTTCACATTTTTTAGAAGTTAAAAGTGTTAAAAAAAATTGGGGGGGGGGGACTATTTTAACGTTGGTGGTGCTACTTACACCCCTATTATACTACTCGAAAATAGGCCACATATAGGCCTACATATCACCAGGGTGAAATCGTGGGACTAAAAAAATTAAAAAAAAACTAAAAACAAAGTGGGTGCGCCACTGTCTTAGAGCGCATTGCTTTTGCTCGACAGCGAGGTTCAGACTAGGTAACGGTACATGTTTTGTTTCTCAACTGTTATCACGGTTAAGGTAATTAAAATAATCAAAAGTACTCTCAATGACTGCCATGGTAAATGGCCTACGAAGAAAAGAGTATTGTATCTCTCAACATTACACAAGTTTATCATTAATCAAACCAAAAATCTTGAACAAAAGTTAGTTTGATCAGACTTAATTTACATAGACATGTAATTTGCAAAAAAACACAAGTTACGATTTTTGCTGTTTTGTAGTTTGTACACATGTGATAGATACTGGATCTTACGTTACAAATAAATACTGGGTTAAAATTTGATGTTGTAATAGCTTGAGTAACTCCAGCTCTAATGCTTATCACATTAGAGCTGGAGTTACTCAAGCTAAGGCCAAAAAAAAAATACGTCGGTCTCTGGTCAGCGCGCGCGTCGATTTTAATCATGCGCGTCGATCTCTTTTTTTTCCCAAAATTTTCCGTGGTAGCTCCAACAGCGCCCTCTATTTCCGCACCTTCTCAATTTTTTTTACCAAAGAGCACCAAGGAATGGGAAATTGCACCATAGCAAATGATCGAAAGCACCAAGGCAAATTATGGAGGACACCAATGTACATGAGGACACCAAAAAAGCAAAATAGTACCCCACCTTGTTACGTGTACAATCCAAGCTTGAAAAAAAAAAAAAAAAAAAAAAAAAAAAACAATCAATTCCGGAACTTTGGTCTGACCAGAGACCGAATTTTTTTTTTGGCCTAATATTGTAAAATAGTTCATCTTGACTTTGAGTTCAAATTTGATTTTGTTGCATGATTTGCTTTAGAGTTTATTTTCCTGATTAACCTCGGTCAGCATATTAGCATATGGAATACCTGCACCTACTGGAGGCATAGCCATTAAGGACACAAAGAGTATGTGGGTGTGAAATAAGCTTCTTTAATGAGGTAAAACACATAAAACTATCTTGTTAAAGTTTTGAGTGGTATAAACGTAGAGAATTTGCATCCTGTACCTTACACAATGTAGTTGGCAGTCATGAGAAGTAAAAAACGAGGACATCAGTGGATCCAAGGAAAAGTTGCATGCCTGAATTTGACATTTATTTCCACATTGGTGAAAATCAAAGAAAAGTAGACAATTGCAGAACACTTGTTTAAATCCAAGATAATCATGAACTAATTGAAAACAAAAACAAAATAGTGACATGAATTAGGAGTACACAATATGGAGGCATTAATGGCATGCAATGAAAGGCGATCGTGTAGTGTAGGGCCCCTGTTTAGTTTCGATCAAATTACAGTCAAGGGTGTTTATTTTTTTCACTCTAAAAAGATCTTTTCAACCCCTAACTTACCAAAGCAGATGACTTCTCTCAATATAATGACACCTTTTTTTGTAGTCCTCGAATAGTTTCTTGCTCTTAGTCTTGGGGTAGAAATTACAATTTACGGTTTACGGTTGGTGCCATGCGATTCAGAGCACCTTGCGCATTCACGGACATCGCGTGGTGATCGCCAATTTTTTTTCGTGTTGCGTTTTGTCGTCGTCATGTTACCCCAAAATTTCTCTCAAACATGTAAAAAAAAATCAAAACCCTGACCGGCTTTATCTATGACATAATAATTAATATGAATGTTCTTAATGTCGCCAACTAGTTTGGTAAGTCAAATAATTTAAAAGTGGATTTTGTTCCCTTATATCATACTACTACTACTACTAGCCTATTGAGACTGAGAGTCCCAAATTTTCGGACTAGGCCCGTGCGCGTATGCCGTAAGGTATGCTCAGGATTGCTAGGCACATGATCAACAGCATGACGATCGCCCATGGCAATACCAATGAAGCGACGTCGTCGTCCAACTCCAACTTCCAAGGTCGAAAAGGCTTTTCAAAATCATGGCAAAGAGCCTATCATTTTTATCAAAAGTATCACGTATTTGTCATACTCACATTTATAAATTTCTCCCTGTATTTGTGTATGCAGTGTTGATTTATTGTTATTTCCACTAACGTTCGATGACTTCCGCGACGACGACACTAAAAATACGTCAGTGTACGTGTAAAATTAGTGTGCGTGCAGCGCAGATACATGTATGCATGATGATGATGCATGAGTGACAAATGATACGTTGCCTCTTGGTGGCGCCCTTCGTGATTATCGCAAAGCGAAATTGCTTTTGTGAAACTTCGGCTTCGGGTTGAGGATATTTTCTGTCAATGTGTACGACCATGGAGAAAATGGTACATTAAGACAATATTTGTAAATTAAGACAATATTTTACAGCAAGCCCATTTGATTTAAACATCACTGGTTTCCAACCGAATACTTCCTCTTGAATGTAACTGAGTTTGTTTTCGTATAGGTCTACACAAAATAATATTTCCCTTTCACTATGAAAGAAAAAAATAACAACTTCGACAACAAGCTTTTGAGTCCAACTCCGATGTGCAGCTTTTCCGCCGTTTAATTGTTCATGGACTGTGACATAATATGCAGACACAACAGGATAAAGCCCTCAAAAAACTATTTCTACAAAAATTTCTTTGATTTCAAGCAATGAAAGAAATTGACGAAATCGCGAAATAGGCAAAATAATGTGTCCCTCCACCATTTTTCTTGTGACTTTAAAAATACCTCTATCTACAGCAAATCGTGTTCTGGTGGTGTCACTTTAACTTTTATATTGTGCAGAATATAGGCCTATTTTGGTACAATGCCAGTAAAGTATTCACCAATAACAATGAAAACGAAAGCTGGGGATTTTCTTTTAAAGGACGAGCAGCGACCTTTTTTAAGGTCAACGCACGCCGCGTTGAAGGGTTATTCCAATTGATTTATGCAACCGTAATCCTTCATTCATTGTATACAGCAAAGGACCGATCCAGTAAGCACCGCCCCATGGTATTCTGACCAATCACAGCCGTGATGTATGTCCGACATGCGTGCACAAAAGTCCGACATGCGTGCACGCGCGTATGATGCGCGCGGCAGGAAAATGCAGTGTGGCATTGGAGAGGAGCACGTGTTAATTTGCCCACGTGTGCAGTGGGAGGGGCTTAGTGGATCGGTCCAGTGTCGCTGAGGAAAGGTCAAAAGAATGTCGTAAACCGTTTGAGTACGGTAATATATATATTATTAATAAATACCTTGGAGAGTTGATGGTTTCTGATTGGTCGAGACTCGATCACGTGGCCGGTCATTAACGGTGATAATGGACCGGCTTCAAAGATCAAGCGAATAAAAGGCCCCTGAACCAGCATTGATCCAGCCCCGTTCAGCCCCATGCAAGCCAATGATTGGTCAAAATAATACTAACAGTCCTGCGGTAGCTTTTAACAATTGACCGCTTGCAGACGCGTTCGATAATTGACGCGCGAAGGTGCGCGACGCCATGTTGTGGGACAAAATGTGCATGGATAGATATGCGCTTGTCCCACAACATGGCGTCGCGCGCCTTCGCGCGTCGATTATCGAACGCATCTGCAAGCGGTCTATTGAGCACTGCATGCACATGCGCTCAACCCCCATCGCGTGAGACTGACGCGCGCGTACGCAACACAGTTGCTAGGGATGAGTGCGTGCGTGCGCGTAAGGAAGTTTTGAAACGACATCGTACAGCAGTGCAGTATATACTAAGGATGTTTACGACGAAAGCGTAGATCTACGATTTATTTTCTTTGAACACTTCACCCACCGACATATTTACCTTTCCTAAACCAAGCATCTTTGTAATTCCGGACACAAGGAATGTGTAAACGAGATTTCAGCTTTCTCCATCAGGTAAAGATATGAAAACGTTGTTGTAATTTGTTTCGCTACGGCAGCAGTTTCTGTTGAGTTTGTCGTTATAGCTAAAATATGGCCCATGAACATGAACACAAAAAAGTCTGGAAATTTCGCCGAAAGAAAGTCACAAAATTGGAGCATTTTAACTGTTTATTTCGTTATAAAGGTATTTATTAATGGGAATAACAGTGTGCGGAGCCGGTCTTCACTGCGTGATAATGACCGGGTGTGGGGGTGACCGCTGTTAATGGACCTCGCCTTCGTCTCGGTCCATTAACAGCGGTCACCCCCACACCCGGTCATTATCACGCAGTGAAGACCGGCTCCGCACACTGTTATTCCCTTAATTCAACCCACAAAAATTAAAATACACTGCCAATAACATAAATTTTCATTCCATAACATAAAGTTTCATTCCAGAAATAGACCTCAGTGACTGAATCCAGTAAAATGAATAGTTCCCACTAGTTTCAAAAGTTTTCAATAAGACTGTCACAACAAACTACAGTTTTCAATGACCAAGTCTCTTGCTTAATGTAATGGTTGAACAAACTTTATAAATGAAAGGAGCCTTTCATGAAAAGAAAGCAGGCCTTTGTCAATTGCATGTAAAATACCGGATAGCCTAACCCATTGGTAGGCGTTTAGTATGCGTGAATAATTTTTAATAGTTTTAGTTTTAATAAAGTGTTAGTATACTACATGTAATCGAGTGAGTGAAGTCTTTTTTTTCATGTCATCTCAACATTTATTTCTACAAATTAAAGTATACAAAGGGCTAATATCCGACAGATATGTGATAAACTACAAGAATAGTAATTGCAACACATTGAAAAAGGGGAATTAAGGAGGCATGTTCAAAATAACTCGTAAGTTGACGCCAGGTCCTTTTAGCTTATTACAGCTGGACAAAATAATGTGCAACTTGATGTGTTCTTGGACAAAGATACTTGTGAATTGACTTGTGTTTAGACCAAATGACTTGTGACTTGACTTGTGACTGGACCTAATGACTTGACTTGTGACTGGACCTAATGACTTGTGACTTGACTTGTGACTGGACCTAATGACTTGTGACCAATACAGAGGTGTGCCAAAAAAGTGCAACATTCAGAAAACAAATAATTAAAATTGTTTCATTTTTTTTTGTCTTCGATGAAATCATTTATTACATTAAAGACCGACTATTTCTCAATCTACACCTTACGGAGTTTTGAACACAAACACCGTTTTAAAGTTCCACGGATCACAAAAAAGATAAGTGTTAATTCATTCAGCAAAACGAAAACAATTCACATACATAAGAGTTGTTTTTGTTTTGCTTATTAAAGAACAGTTACCTTTTTGTATTCTATTCAAAATTTAACTAGACTAGTGTTTTCAGATTCTTACTATTATAAAGTAAACGTATACGGTATAGTGTCTTAACTACAACCAGCAACTGATTATAAGCGCTGCCCTCTACCCTACATGGATCGTGCACTGTGACATTCATTCAGCCAAATTTGAAAGAGTGTCATAATGTAACTTGGTTCAGGATTCGATTCCGCGTCGACAATTTGGGGCCGTTTGGGCGTGTGGGTCTCCATCTTGGTTTTGCCTGTTACTTGCGGCGTTTGTTTTTGACGCAGTAAGCCGCAGGGTGACAAGAATAACCCGAAGGGCAATCTGAAGCGACGGCACACCGTCCCCCTTCTGAAAACATAACAACAAAATGAAAAGGATATACAGAATAAGCCTTTTCGGAGTTCCAACTGCGCATTTGTAACCTGTGACAACGCGCATTGTTTGTCTCAAACGGCCTTCGACAAAATCGCGCCACTGACTTTACAAAAAGGCTGTTTGTGCATTGTGGGTACTGTCAAAGGGCATTTGAGACAAACAATGTGCGTTGTCACAGGTTACGAATGCGCGCAGTTGGAACTCAGAAAAGGCTTATTCGATGCCGAGAAATCGTTTTTCCTGATCGAGCTATACCTTTTTATCAATCATGCTTTTGCCGGAGGTTAGTTCGGCTCGGGAGATGCTTCAGGCATGCTTGGCTGGCCAAGTTGAGACATTATTGGTTACTCAGGCAGTGAACGAGACAGTCACTCAGTTAGTCGATCATCGGGGAGTCAGTCGGGGAGTCAGTCGATCGGTCAGTCAGTGACTCAGTCAGTCAGTGACCCAGGCAGTCAGAAACTCAGTCAGTCAGAAACTAAGTCAATCAGGTAATCAATTGGGGAGTCGGGGAGTCAGTCGGGGAGTCGGGAGTCAGTCAGTACGGGAGTCAGTCGGTCGCTCAGTCGCTCAGTCGGTCAGTCATGAGTCGCAGAAAAATGGGCTCGGCCTTTGAGTCAAGCAAAAGCTAATATTGAACTGCGTCGCTAGCACTTAAAAAACAAAACAAAATACAGCCCAAAAAGGAAAAAAAAGTTGGAAATACGAATGATGAATGACAGTCTTGTTTACAACTTACCCCTTTGCAACAAGTCACGCAGATATTCAACCAGTTCATCATCAAGTGATCTCTCTGAGAAAATTGGGAGAAAGTACAACACAGATTAATAAACTAATTAAAACAAAACCAGAGTCAAAGATTCGGCAAAGGACATTATTGTGTGCACATACCTTGACGAAGTGCCATGGCAAAGACGCAGCTCAGGCACATCAACAGAATCAGACAGGTGTATCCCTTCATTCTTGACGTTTTGCTTTTTGGAGAAGAAAAAAACTTAAATTAAATTAAATTCAAATTTATCAGTTCGCCCGTACCCCCGCCCCGCAAACAGAGCGCTGGGAAGGGCTGATGAGCTTCACAGAATCTTGTGAAGGAAGTGGGGACGGCATTCTGGGTAACTTATCATGACCTATATAAAGACATCTATATAAATTGCTCAATCCGTTCAAAGAATATCACCATTATTTTAAACACAATACCCTTTTGGGTTGGGGTTCCGCTTCTTTCTTTTTTTAACTCACCCTTTATATTATTTTTTTTATTTAATGCATTGAGCGCAGCCGGAGCCACCGGTTGACAGATCTATGGCTCGTTTTTAGGAAACAGAGAATTTTTATCTCTGAAACTTGCAAATCCTTTGATTGATGTTAAAAGATTGATGTTAGGGAGAGAAAAATGGAAAGTCGGTCGTCTGCAGTACACTGAAGACGCTTTGTTCTACTGGCGCCTTCAACTTCAAGACCAAGTTTGTTTAAAAAGAACCTTATGATTACATGCATTGAATCTTGTCACCCCTTTTGTTACAAGTGTGACCCCGACAGGAATGAGAGGAATTGAGAATTTTTCATCAAAGGAATTTTTTTATTGAAATTTAACAGGGCTACCTTTTGAAGTGGGCAGAGGGAGTTTGTACTACATTGTACCATTACACGGGATGCCATAGGTTAAGTTCTGTTGTAATGTCTGCAGTCTGTTTTCACACTGAGTTTTTACACATCCAGATTGGTAAATCCACGCATTTGGTTTAGAACGTTAAACAATACCAGATTTACTTCTATTTATAGTTGGGACCATGGTCGTTTGTTTTTACACAAAAAGCGGATAAAAATATCATCGATTACCATCATAGAATACAGTCAGCGTTTTCACGAAGAGTGATTTCGGTGGGAAAAATCCATATATTTTTTTCAAAATCCTTTTTTTTTTCCGGCCAAAATCGGCTAATTTGAAATGAACAGCAACGTGCGTAGCGCCGGAAAATTTTTCGCTACGTGCTAACCCGTGGTCCGATTTTCATGTTTTTGGTATCAAAAGATGCGCAAAGCTCGAGGCTAAAAAGTCATAACAGCTCGGGTCGCGAAAAAATTTTTTTTAGAAGCTATCGCGGAAAATGTTGAGGGGGGGGCGGATTCCGCCCCCCCCCGGCCACTTTAGGGTTAATGGATGTGAACGCGACTTACCTTTATTCTGCTGTGTAAGATGATGTAATTAATAGCTAAGACTGCTAGGGCTTTCCTCTCTTATAAGCCTTTTCGGAGTTCCAACTGCGCGCATTCGTAACCTGTGACAACGCACATTATTTGTCTCAAATGCCCTTTGACAGTACCCACAATGCACAAACAGCCTTTTTGTAAAGTCAGTGGCGCGATGTTGTCCGAAGGCCATTTGAGACAAAATAATGCGCGTTGTCACAGGTTACGAATGCGCAGTTGGAACTCCGAAAAGGCTTATTTGGAGTTCTCCTGTCTGTCGGTGGCAAATGCTAAAACTGCTTGCAAAGGTTGTGACTTTTTATATAGCCCAGCCAAGCTCCGGCTGAATCGCAATTCGCATGACCGAGCAGCCATGCTGCGGCATTTGATAGGTCCGAGTCACTGTGCCTTGCAAAGTGGAATACATGGCAGAGCAAATCCAACCTCGCGGCACTCAAACAATTATTTTGCTAGCAATTTTACGATAAAAACACTGTCTAACGGGTTGCCAAAAAACACGTACAATTACGGTCAGTTACGGGTTTCTGAATGACGGTGACCGTAATTTCACCTTGATTTCCCGTAAATTCAACGGTAATTTGCCGTGAAGTAATGACAAAGTGGGGCGGCGTCGGGGCTGGGTGCAGCGAGGGGGTAGGGTCCAGTTATTGCAGCTGGGAGTTGGGTATGCACACGTTTTACAGCTTGTCTTTTACACACATAGTGGTTTTCATATCATTTTTATAGGTGAAGTTGTCTTTGTAATGTAACTTGCATTGTTATTAGTGTTATGTAATTATCGTTGACAACTTTTTTTACAGGGCCCATAGAAGGTCGACCTATTGCAGGTCAGCACCGCAGGATTAGCTGCATGGCTCTCATAACTCTGCAATGTTAAACATTACGGCTTTGACAGCACAATGATAAGTGAGGCTTTGCACACCAAACATAACAGTCTGGCACCATCCCATTCAACAGTTTATGAAAGAGATTCAGGGACCACATCTAAAATGGTTACTCGTATAAAAGGTCTATTAACCTCGTCTATTATACCTGAAATATATAGACACGTGGTACATGATTTACCATAAATAGTTGGGCGTCATTAAAGGCATACGTTTTATACCATTCTTGTCAGCCTTGAAATCTGGTGTCAGCCAAAGAATCGCCAGAAAGAAGAGCGTCACCAATCGGCAGATGACCCCCCCCCCCCCCGATGCGGGTAGATCAGATGCAGGATATCGAACCAATTTACAGTTCCGTTACATCACAGTCGATGTAATGAACAGGTAGTAGTGATTGGGCACGACAACACCAGTGGCGCATCCAGGATTGGGGTGGGGTTTTTTTTTGGGGGGGGGAGGGCTCACATTTTTTTCACATTTTGTAGAAGTACAAAATTAAAAAAAAAAAAACCTGCCCAAAACTTTTGGCCGCAGAAAAAAAGGAAGTTTTTTTAAGGGGCGAACTATCTGACGTTGCTGGCGCCACTTACACCCCTATTATACTACTCGAAAATAGGCCACCTACATATCACCAAGCTGAAATCGTGGGACTAAAAAAAAAAGAAGTACAACCCCCCCCCAAAAAAAAAACCAAACAAATTGCCAACCTCGGGGGAGGGGGGGGGGGGCTCAAGCCCCCCGAGGCCCCCCCCCCATTTCAATGTACGGCCTACCACAACAAAACACAGCAAACTCAGAGACCAGATTTGAAGTACCTTCATCTATAACCTCTTCTAAAGTTTAATGAAACCGCTGTATGACTACTATACGCAGATTAGCATCAAATATAATTGCTACATGTAAACGTTAAGGTTGAGTATAAAACAAAGCAAAACAAACATATCACCGTCGATGTAATGTAGTAGTGATTGGGTGGCACAAAAACACTGCTCGGAACCAATGTCTTTATTCCGGCAACGAGTAATTAAATGTAAATACTAGCAAAGCAAAGTCAGAGACCAGATTTGAATTACCTTCATGTATGTCCTCTATATTGAAGTTTAATTAAACTAGTCTTCTACGCAGATAAGCATCAAAACTAATTGCTACATGTTAACGTTAATGTTGAGTAAAAAACAAAGCAAAAAAAGCTCGGCTCAAGTCCCTCATGAGAAGGCTCGACTCGACAACATACTGTGACTGGAATCGACTCGAGTCGACCTTCTTCACCTTATGACTCGACTTGAATCACTTTCTTGACTAAATGACTCGACTCAACTCGAGTCACAAAATTCAGAGACTCGTTACAACTCTGACAGCTTGCGCGAGCTAGGTACCAGTTGAAATACAGTGGGATTTATTTTTCAGAGTGTAACTATTATCAAACGTATACGGTATAATGTCTGAGCTGCAAACACCAATACTAATTATAAGCACTCTACCCTAAACGGACCGTGCACTAAAGTCATTGTTTAATTCAGCCAAATTTGAAAGAGTGTAATGGTTTAGGATTCGATTCCGTCGAAATGTTGGGCCCGTTTGGGCGTTCGGGTCTCCATGTTGGTTCTGCATGTTATGGTTTGACGCAGTAATATTCTAGGTTACAGACTTGACCGATAGGGCATTCACGGTTGTAACATTTTATGCGTTGCCTCCTTCCTGAAAACAAAACAACAACATGAAAAGGAAACACAGTTCAATGCAAAGAAATCTCCTGTCCTGAGCTACCGTTTCATCACATCGTGCTTTTGCTGGATCCTAGTTTTAGCTCGACTCGGGAGATGCCTCAAGCATGCTTGGCTTGCCCAGTCGAGCTGGACCCGGCAGTCTAAGTTTGAGACGTTATTTATAATCAATTACTTGGTCGATCCACCTCTTTGCTCAGTCAGTTAGTAAGTAAGTAAATAACTCAGTCAGTCATTCAGTGATTAAATCAGTCGCGGAAAAAGGGCTCGACCTTTGGGTCAAGCAATATTGTACTGCTCCCTAGCACTTGAAAAAAAATCCGGGAAAAAAATGTTGAAACAAGACGCCACATCAGAGATTGTGTACAAAGTCTATAGAGAGTCAAGACAATTTTCTGTATTTCCAAACAAAAATGGAAATGTTTCTCAGTCCCAGGTTCATATCTTATCATCACTTTGCAACGACTGACCTTCATTGAGATGATATATGAAGAAAAAAGTGGCGTCAGGTTGCAACATTTTTTCAAAAATTGCAAATCCAATGATTGGCCGAATTTTATAGTGAAAAAAAAATGTGAAAGACGAATGATGAATGACCGTCTTGTTTACAACTTACCTTCTTGCAACAAGTCACGCAGATATTCAACCAGTTCATCATCAAGCGATCTCTCTGAGAAAATTGGGGTAAAACACATCACACATTAATGAACTCTTTAAAACACAAGCAGATTCAAAGATTCGGCAAAGGACATTATTGTGTGCACATACCTTTACGAATTGCCATGGCAAAGACGCAGCTCAGGCACATCAACAGAATCAGACAGGTGTAGGCCTTCATTCTTGACGTTTTGCTTTTTGGATAAACAAAAATCATTAATTAACTGTAAGAGACAAAGTTTTTGGAATCTTAAAAGTCTTTGACTAGGTCATCTCTTCTCTTAGATAATAAGTCTTTAAACCTATCAGTGATACAAGTTGGTCTGATTCCAACTTAATTTAGTGTAAGAAAAATGCATTGAGCGCAGAGCCACCGGTTGACAGAACTATGGCCCGTTGAAATAGGAAACAGTGAACTTTTTTCTCTGAATCTTGCAAATCCTTTGATTGATGTTAAAAGATTGATGTTAGGCAGAGAGAAATGGAAAGTCGGTCGTCTGCAGTACACTGAAGACGCTTTGTTCTACTGGCGCCTTCAACTTCAAGACCAAGTTTGTGATTACATGCATTGAATCTTGTCACCCCTTTTGTTACAAGATTGATGTTCGACCCCGACAGGAATGAGAGGAATTGAGAATTTTTCATCAAAGGATTTTTTTATTGAAATTTAACAGGTCTACCTTTTGAAGTGGGCAGAGGGAGTTTGTACTACATTGTACCATAACACGGGATGCCATAGGTTCAGTTCTGTTGTAATGTCTGCAATCTGTTTCACACTGAGTTTTTACACATCCAGATTGGTAAATTGGTAAAGATGTAAGTGAGAGAGAAACCAAGACCAAGTTTGTTTGATAAGAACCATCTACCATTTTCTCACTGCTTTTGTTAGAGGATCGATGTTGACCCCGACTATCAAAGCTTTTTTTTTTTTTTTTTAGGTTGTATTGAAATTTAACAGGGCTACCCTTTATCCCTTTTTCTAAAGATCCTCTTCTGGGGCGATGTTTTTCTAATAGTGGGGTGATGTGTTCTTTATCAAGGGCTTTTTTTAAGGTTGTACTGAAATTCAACAAGGCTACCTTTTAGCCCTTACAGTTCTGAATCCTCCAATTTCATTATGACACCCCCAGGGAGTTAGGGTTAAAGCGGTATAATGGTGTTCCTTCAACAAAGAGGGGGTTTAAACTCCCATATCGCTACACGAGATGGCTCAGGTTCAGTTCTGTTGTGATGTCTGCAATCTGTTTCACACTGAGTTTTTACACATCCAGATTGGTAAATTGGTGAAGATGTAAGGGAGAGAGAAATGGAAAGTGGGTTGTCGGCAGTACACTAAAGACACTTTGTTCTACTGGCGCCTTCAACTTTAAGACCAAGTTTGTTTGATAAGAACCATCTATCATTTTTTCACTGTTTTTGTTAGAGGATCGATGTTGACTCCGACTATCAAAGCTTTTTTTTTTTTTTAGGTTGTATTGAAATTTAACAGGGCTACCCTTTATCCCTTTTTCTAAAGATCCTCTTCTGGGGTGATGTTTTTCTAATAGTGGGGTGATGTGTTCTTTATCAAGGGCTTTTTTTAAGGTTGTACTGAAATTCAACAAGGCTACCTTTTAGCCCTTACAGTTCTGAATCCTCCAATTTCAATATGACACCCCCTAGGGAGTTAGGGTTAAAGCGGTATAATGGTGTTCCTTCAACAAAGAGGGGGTTTAAACTCCCATATCGCTACACGAGATGGCTCAGGTTCAGTTCTGTTGTGATGTCTGCAATCTGTTTTCACACTGAGTTTTTACACATCCAGATTGGCAAATCCACGCATTTGGCTCAGAATGTTAAACAATATCAGATTTACTTCCACTTATAGTTGGGACCATATAGTCGGTTATTTTTACACACAAAAAAGATATAGAATGTACCGTCAGCGTTTTCACTGAGGGACGAATTCGGCAAAAAAAATCCATATTTTTTCAAAATACTTTTCCCGGCCGAAATCGGCTAATTGTAAATGAACAACACCGAACCTGATGATGTTTTCGGGTCAAAATCAGTTAACAATCATGACAATCAATGTAGGGAAAATTGTCACGAACAGACAAATTGAAAATTGATCAACTTGCTTAGGGCAAAAACAACGCGAGAATAGGCGTTTCAGTTTTCACGTAGAGACAATTGGATTTGACCAGCAAAACAACGCACGCGTGTGGGATTTCAAGTTTTCACGAACATACACATTATGGAGATAAATTATTCTGCAATAGTTGTATTATATCCTAATTAGAACATCTTTGAAGCTTATGATCTCAGCTCACCATTTATAACAAAAAATAGTCAACATGTGCTCCAAACGGTAGGCGAAATCTTGACTCCAAAAAGTGACCAACCTATAAAACCCGATTTTCTCGAAACCACTGTTAATGTTCCGTCAACATCATGTGGCCAAATTCGTCCCTTCGTGAAAACGCTGACGGTACAAAGCAATTTAAAGACACTGTAGGCAAACAAAACTTGATCGAATACAAAAACATGAAAGTCCATCGTCAAATGTTACACTTGCTGTGTACAATATGAAGATTAATGTAACCCCGTCAGGTCTATTTGGGATTATTTGACCCTAACTCCCTAGGCCGGGTATGCAAAACCAATTAAAATTGGAGAATTCAGGACTGTTAGGGAAGTTTAAAGGCGGCTAGGCCTAAAAGATGTGAACGCGACTTACCTTTATTTTGCTGTGTGAGGTGATGAAATGAATAGCTAGGCTGCTAGGGCTCTCCTCTCGTATTTGGAGGTCTGCTGTCTGTCGGTGGCAAATGCTAAAACTGCCCGCAAAGGTTGTGACTTTATATAGCCCAGCCAAGCTCCGGCTGAATCGCAATGCGCATGACCGAGCAGCCATGCTGCGGCATTTGATAGGTCCAAGCTTGGAGCTATATAGCTCCATGGCCCGAGTCACTGGACCTTGCAAAGTGGAATGCATATAAATCAAGTTAGGTTTTTGCCCTTCACCGACGTTTTTTTTTTATGGTGAAGGGTAAAAACCTAATTTGATTTATATCACCCCGACGCAAAAATTCCATCTTATAATAGGAATGCATATAATTGCAATGGCCGAGCAAATCCACCCTAAATACTGCAAACAATATGCCCGTACGTGACCAACTTAAAACCCAATTTTCTCAAAACCTCTGTTCGACACCCCGTGGCCTACTTCGTCCCTTCGTGAAAAAGCCGACGGTACAAAGAAAGACACTGCACGCAAACAAACCTTGATAGTACAAATACATGGAAGTCCATCGTTAAATGTTATATTCGCGGTGTAGTACGATGTACTATCAACGTGGATCCAGGGGGTGGGGGTCGAACCCCACCGGGCCCACCAGCTATGTCTGAATGTTATTTTCATAGAAACACCTTACAAATTACCCCCTCCTCCCCCCGCCACCGAAAGAAATATATTCGTTTAATAATATCCTCCTGTGTACAAAATTTTGACAAAGCAAGCTTGGTTATCAAGAAACAAAACAAATATGCTTTTCAAGACTAGAGCTAATCCATTTTCTGGATTGTGTCTATACGTAAAAGGAGGCACTAACACCTTTAAGAAGTGCCATGGCAAAGACGCAGCTCAGGCACATCAACAGAACCAAACAGGTGAATCCCTTCATTGTTGTTTATTTGTCTTTCTGAAAAAAAAAATACAATAATGTATACAAAGATTGAAATAAACCAAAGGACTGAATTAGTTAGGAGAAATGTTCATTCTCCGTAATATTGTTCAATGTTCACTGAAGATTATGAAGGCGGCGTGAACCTACACCACGCTATAGGTCTTGATGATATGATTTATGCGGTGCCTGGGAATCGAAGTTTAGGCTTTCGTGCCGTTAAACTAAAAAGGCGCCTGGAACTTCTGCAATCGACGACTGCAGATTTCAAACAAAAATTTGATACCTGCTCTTCTTTTCATAAAACATGATTTATCGAGACAACTTTGTTTTTTCTAAACACAACTGCAAAACCGAGGTCGACGTCCATGGGCAGTGTATAAAAGCTTATCGGTCAATATGCTGGGTTTTTTTTTTCTATACAAAACTCCGAGACCTAGCCGTATTCTTCTCGAGAACAATATGACTCTTGTTCCACCAAGCACAATGCAATATCGATGTGAATATAGGTATAATAAATGCTGATTGCCAAGTGGTACACGTTTTATGCAGGTCGTCCATTGGCAGTGTCAAAGATTATTGATAAATATGCTGTATTTCTATACAAAAATGCGAGACCTTAAGTATTTTTCTTGAGAACAATGTGCCTCTTGTTCCACCAAGCACAATGCAGTGTCTATGTGTAGTCAAGATTTATGCCGATTGCTTTGTGGGACACACTTAATATGCAGGTCGTCCATAAGCAGTGTCAATACAACTCCACTTTAGCACTTTCAATACAAACATCAATGTTTTTTTAAGTTTTGTAAACTTCCCTAGAGCAGGGACTTTTTCTGTACAAGCCAGCAGCACACGGAGAGGCAACGCACGAGAAGAGCAAAATCAAATGTCATTTTGACGCCAAGAAACACACTCTGAATATTAATTTAGCCGTTCTGGCGATACCTGTTAAAACAAAGTAACGACAGTACGCTGATGTACATTAGAGAAGATGTACACAGCAAACGTATACCAGGCATTCTAATAACAAACTGTGCAAGATATACTAATGTGACCAGGGGAACACAGGATCTTCAAGTTTAGATGGAAAATGTACTGTTTTATTTCTCCTCAGTGGCCGCATGGCAGCAAAGCGCAGCCAGCGCTGTAAAATCTTCTTTAAATTAAACGACTTTTATAACATGGGTTTGCTCTTGTTGGTGGCTAATACAAGAATGAATTCAAGAAAACTAAACCACAGGATGTTGGCCAGTGCCTCACATTCCTGGGCAAACCACACAGGGATTATGAATAAACAGAGCTATTAAGGGGGTGATAAAACAGAGTAACTAGTATTAAAAAAAACTAGAGTCTATCTAATGAATAATAATGAGGTACATGTAGTCAGGCCTCCTGCCTGGAGTTAATTACTTTCCCAGAAACCTGGAATGTGTGGTTGACCCACCCAGGGCTAAAGGACAGATTTTCTCACAATATAAGATGTACATAAAACAATGAAGATAATGATAATTTCAATACTTGGAAAATGCATGAACATAAAACCAATTCAAAACTTGTGAAAAAACATGCAACTCCACGTACCGACTAATGGGTTACAAAACATTAATAAAACTTTCAAAAGAGATAGGAAAAGTAAAGGTGCCAAAAAATATATGGTTGAAATATGCTTCAAATATTTCACCGGTTACACTAACATGGTTCGCATACCCTATTTTAATTCCAATGACACCACAAATACTAAATGCAGTTATAAACAAAACCATCCGATTAATACTTAAGGGGAAATTACAACATTTGCAAACATCGAAAAATAAAACTACCAAGTTTTTACGAAATACCTTACTAGGATGTTGGTAAATGACAGTCTAAAGCATCCTGTAAAATTATGGCACCAGGGCCCATTTTCATAGAGCTGCTTAAGCACAAAATTTGCTTAAGCACGAAAAAACATTGCTTAGTAAAATTAGGTTACCGGCCAAAACTCCATGTGATGTTCATAGCTTGTGACTGGTATTTAGCTGTTGTTAACTTAGCATAACAATCGCATGGAGTTTTGGCCGGTAACATGATTTATTAAGCAAGACGTTTTTGTGCTTAAGCAAATTTCGTGCTTAAGCAGCTCTATGAAATTGGCCCCAGGTGTCAAGTCATTTCAAGAAAATGGTATTTTTGTATACATTTCCAACGATGGTCGGCCGACCACCGTTGGAAAAACCTAACTATTTTTCAACTACTGCTCCAAATTTACAATTTTTTTTCAGTCCAAATTGTTTTTGCTATTGGTTCCCTTACCTTACAATTTTCCGACATCTATAAATTGGTTCATTTTATATTTAGTGGAGTCGGGGAACCAGACTACTTAAACATTTTTGTTTTTCTTGGTTTTTCCAGCATTTTTGAACACAAAACTTCAAACATGTCAGTTAAACAATATTTGCTCTATTATACTAACCCCTCAAATAGTTCATTTCAGAAAATTACAGCAAAAGCCAATGATGTACATTCCCTTTAAACTTTAGTAAGGTAATGGATGTGCTTGGCCGGTTTGAAACTGGGGTTCTTAATGCGACGGATAAACACTGAATACTCGGTGAAAGTTGGAAAAAAATCACTCGGGGTGGGACTCGAACCCACGACCTCCTGCTCGAGGTTCGAGTCCCACCGAGTGATTTTTTTCACCCAACTTTCACTCAGGAGGTAACACACTGAGCATACAGTGTTTATACGCCGGTGAAGGGCAAATCCTAATTTTAAATTTACGTCACCCCGATGCAAACTTCAGCTTATGAATATTCTCCAAAATTAGTTGTTTTATTAGATATCATGTCAGTTCCAGAATGACTTGAAAAACAAAAACAAAAGGGAAAGGGGGGGGGAATAAGAAAATGTACCTGTCAGGATAAAGACATTTTCATTTGGATTGAGGAAGCTCTTGGTAATGGTTAGGGTTAGGGTTTTTAGGAATAGGGTAACGAGTATAAGCGGGATCAAGACTTTAAAGTTACGGTTATGATTGAGTAGCTTAAAAATAGCATGTAAAGAGAGCAAGCTATCAGAAATAATTATATAAATATAATGCAATTACCCGTGAATAAGAATGCGTATAAACGATGCGAACTAACTAAAAGAATGCAGGTCAGGTGCGGTTCTATATACGCTAACCAAAATCAACACCTTAAATATTCCCCTTTCAAAGCGTAATTTATATTTTCTCCTAATTAAGAGACTTTTCCGAACCTGTTGTGACGAATCGCAATTGTTTTCGTAATTCCAAATTCCGAAACAGGTTTCCTCTATTTCCTGATATTCGCAGGAAGCTCACATATTTGTTTTAGACAATCTTCCACAAATATCAGATGATTTAAATGAGGCTTTCCTTTCTTTTTCGATAAAGAACCGCGCCCGGCACAATGTGCATACCCACCACCTTGGCAAACGATACCCCATTCTCCTTAAAACAAACACCGAGAATATTGTCATCTAAAACGCCAATATTTTCGTTTTAATCATAATTGTATCCGTGTCTCGAGTCCACAAAGTCGAAAGTGTCGGTTGAGGGCGTGATGGCGCCCGTTGGGTTGGATGCCGGTCTCCGGGTTGGTGTGGGGACGCACTACTTATTGAGGAAGCAGGTTCCGCCGGAACCTCGATAAGCGCAGCGAAAACCTCTAGGGCAGGGGTTGTTTTTGTTGCAAGGTCTTCCCATGCGGCCTACAATGATTGCAATAAATAGCGAGAAAAGGGTTAAAGAATGCCTGGCCTTCTGCTTCTTCTGCTCTATAGACCTTTATCATGCTGACTCCATTTCAGTCACGTTCCCTGTGTCCCATAACAGTACTGAATGATAATGTTTTGTGCAAACTGGAACCAGACTATTTTTCCTTCCAGCCTCGCTTTGGTTGCGTTGATTTGAATTTATTGAAATGGCATACCGCGTACTGATGTGACTGCATTCCACAACGAAGTAGTTATTGGCACCTTTAAAAATGCAAAACCAATTCTGTGTGCAGGCTGGAAAATGATGAGCCACTTCAATAAAAAAAAAAAATGGCATAACTCCTTACCGCAGCACCAATTTGAAAAATTCAAAATCTGTGGAAGGCAAGGTAATAACCATTCATATATGGAACACTCATTTTGTTTCTCAATATACTCTACATGCCACAACAAAAACATGGCGGACTTGG